TACCAAACTTATTGACATAAATTCTTGAAATAGTAGTTCAATAAAATTTTGAATGCAAGTCAACAAACGAGATGACATGGCCACCAGTCTCGAAAGGGTTAACACTTGAGGAGGTCCAGCCAACTCAGTTCTAATATTGAGTAAAATGAAATATCAACACCAGCCTATGTTTGAGAAAAGCAAGTATGCTTGAAATGCAATTATCACATTGATTTTCATAAAAGCCAACACTGATTTGCTTGAGATGAAGCACTTCAACAAAACACGTGGGCACTGTGGCCCAACTAGTCTGGTGAGATTTGGTACTGTATTGAAAATTATTAATTGACTTAATGTGATGGTTCCAGTTTAAAAGAAAATGAAGCAGAACTTTTCTAAAACAAAGTCCCCAGAAAAAAAAAAATTGACCTGGAGGGTTTTCCAGTTTAGGTAAGATTTAGATTAATTAAAATATTAGTGAAAATGTGTAGCTGTCCTATAAGTGCTTAAATGTTGTTGGTTGTTTAGTCTTCTTTATTACAGAAAAAATGGATTCAATTCAGGCTTTCTTCATTTGAAACACACATTGATTGTTGGTTTATGGAATGGATTCAAACTCTTGAAATAGTTATACTTTGTCCTATAGGAACAGTTCTACTCTATGGTGTTTTGTAGGAAGCTAAAACATGATTCAGGTTTCATAGCTCAATATAAACTGATTGTTTAATAAAAATTTAAGTTAAATATCAAATACAGAAGTAAATCTACTGAAAAATAAACTAAAACTTTTGTTTTAAACAATCATCTTTTTTACAAAGCCATCGGTACTTTATATGTCAATTACATTAACCCTCTGGATACAGGTTTATAAAATTGCATGTCAAAACCCTTTTACAGACTTCAATTCAAATTTTCTTAAACTACTTTATTACACATGTAAATCAATAAACTTTGCATCAAAACAGTTAATAAGCCAAATATTAATATATAAATTTTAATTTTTTTAATTTCAAAAGGAAATATCTAAATAAATTGTCAAATTAAGCAAGCCCATAAAATACTATGGATTAATACTGATATAGAATATCAAGTCATAGTTGTGATTCACCCTGTGTATTCTCAAAAAGACAGGCAAGACAAAGACTGTCTGGTTTTTATGGGTAAATTTCTGTTGAAAGGCAATAAAATTTCTCAAAAACTTCTATGGTTTTCAAAAGAGAGGGGGTTGCAATTTTCAGGATTTTTTTATACATTTCAAATAGAAGGAAAAAATTCATCGGTCTAGTTTTGAGAGGTTCCACTTTAATTACACTTACTTATCAGCAAAAAAAGGAAGGGATGAAATACTATAGATGTGTGTGTGCACATGCGTGAATATATATACACACACACACAAACGCATATTCATACCTGATTTTAGCTATAAAGTACAATGATATATCTTATTTAATTATGTACATGATGATAAAGAAATAAAAACCTCATTACTCACTTCTTCCCACAGTACATCTACAAACAAATAAAAATGTGCGCTAGTAGAAGCATGCTGAACCAATAGCATCTGTGCTGCCATACAAACATCTTCCACATCTCTATTCTGCTCTACTTGTAGACTGCACCACAAACTCATCAAGTCCTAGATAAATATTGTCAAACATATTATTCCAAACACAAATTAATACATAAAAGTGTATACTAAAAATTACATAATATGAATCTCATAAAAAATATTATATTATTAACTTATTATGAATACTGTATTACACTAATGACCATATTTAATCAATTAAGTTAAAACAGTTGAAAAATACACTGTATAAAAAGTAAGATTATTATATAATGCAAATTACACTACAACAACCTGAAACATCAAATGAATAATACATTTACGTTAAAGGCATGAGAAAAAGCTTGTACTATAAATCTATTTCTTGTGTAATCTACAAATCTCTAAGGCTACATGTATAACTAAAGCTTTAACCTTATATAAAGTTTGTGAGAATTATCATCTGGACCAAAAAAATCCTTTAGAAACACATAAACTGTTTATTCAAAAGTAATTTCTATCACTGAAAAAGGTCTGTCTACTTACACAATTGAGATATTCCTAAGTATCTATCCAAGCCAGAGAATAAGCTATAATTGTTTCTTGGCTATCACCATTCCTTACTGTACTTCAAACCTTTTCCAAAATTATTGTAGTTTACTTATGTTTCACACTTTTGTAGATATTTGACCGTGAATATCTATTACCAAATCTCTCAACATTTCATATCTAACAGTTCCAACAAAATTAAGGAACAAATGATCAATAAATAATTCATAGATACTTTGGATTATATCTCGCTTCCCACTGCAATACCACACATTCTTGAATTTAGTGTTTTCTCATTGCATCTTTTCATACAGGAATGTGACAATGCTCTATGTGCAGTTTCCAAAATATAACCTTGTGTGAAATTCAATAATAAATAAATGAAAGCTAACATTTTCCTTATCTGAAAATGTATTTCCGATAAATACTTACCTCTCCTCACAAAACAGTTTTTCTCGATTAGAACTGCCCTCTATTGGTGAAAATTTTCAATGTTTGCCACTAACCTTCCACCTCCTGCTTCTGCATATCTACATGTAAACGGCTAGGCAGCAGCTCTCCACTAATAGGAATGTGATGCAACTCCTATCATAACCAGCACCCTCTCCACATTTGCACTCAGAAGACCTACACCAAATATCACCAGAAGTAGGGAGGCTGGGTGGAAAATGTGAGTGAAGGTAAATATCTATTGGAAATACATTTCTCATGTTAGGAAAATGTTAATTTCCGATATGATATCTTACCTCTTCTCACAAAATAGCTAGAATACCAGATTGAACTGGTGGAGGGCCAGTGAAAAAATGATCCCCCTCTAGGAAGCATCCATGAGGTGCAAAACCAAAAAAGAAAACATCACACCTCAGCAGGACACTGCACCACATCTGATCCAGGTATACTCTTCGGCCTTTTATGACTGTGTTGCTAACCTAAAAGGTGGAAAAACATGAAGAAACCCCATAATACATATTACCGATCAATGGGACTCCTGAGTGTTGAGTGGCTAGGGTGCAACAGACCATAGAGGTATTTGGACCTCATCCAACACCTTGCAGTATCTGGAACTGTACATCAGTACCATGTAGGTAAAAGATCACCTACTTCTTCACCTCGAAACAGGAATTGGTAGGGAAGATGAGTTTACATAACAAAATCTGTCTCCACTTGTGTGCATTACCAAACCAACCAACACCTGATCCACCAGGAACTGACATCCAATGGATGGTAGGAAGGTGGAAAACCCCAGTAGGAAGACATCTCTGGTCCAAAACCTGGTGTCATTGCAAATGGTTCTTCCAGTCCAGAGCAGGAGGAGGATACCCGGTCGTACACAAGTGGGAATATGTTTTGCATCCACCTACAACCAACACCAAAACCGACATCCAGCAGATGGTAGGAAGAGGGACCGCAAACCTAGGATGCATCTCCAGTCCAAATCCTGGTGGCATTGGATATTTTGCATCCAGTCTACACTAGGAGGGATACTGGCCAGAACACATGTGAAGACTTACTTAGTTGGACCATCTCCAACCAACATCAGACTCCCCGTGAACCACATCTGGAGGATGGTAGGGAGAAGGAATGTCACAGCCTGAGGGGCAAACTCCAATATATATATATATATATATATATATATATATATT